ATACGTTACTAAATAACCAAGAGATCACTGAAGAAATCAAAGAGGAAATCAGAAAATACCTAGAGACAAATGACACTGAAAACACAACAATCCAAAAACTATGGGATGCAGCAAAAGCAGTTCTAAGAGGGAAGTTTATAGCTATACAAGCCTACCTCAAGAAATAAGAAAAATCTCAAATAAAATATCTAACCTTACAACTAAAGGAACCAGAGAAAGAAGAACAAACAAAACCCAAAGTTAGCAGAAGGAAAGAAATCATAAAATCAGAGCAGAAATAAATGAAATAGAAACAAAGAAAACAATAGCAAAGATCAATAAAACTAAAAGCTGGTTCTTTGAGAAGATAAACAAAATTGATAAACCATTACCCAGACTCATCACGAAAAAGAGGGAGAGGACTCAAATCAATACAATTAAAAATGAAAAAGGAGAAGTTACAACAGACACTGCAGAAATACAAAGCATCCTAAGAGATTACTACAAGCAACTCTATGCCAATAAAATGGACAACCTGGAAGAAATGGACAAATTCTTCCAAAGGTATTACCTTCCAAGACTGAACCAGGAAGAAATAGAAAATATGAACAGACCAATCACAAGTAATGAAATTGAAACGGTGATTAAAAATCTTCCAACAAACAAAAGTCCAGGACTGGATGGCTTCACAGGTGAATTCTATCAAACATTTAGAGAAGAGCTAACACCCATCCTTCTCAAACTCTTACAAAAAACTGTGGAGGCAGGAACACTCCCAAACTAATTCTATGAGGCGACCATCACCCTGATACCAAAACCAGACAAATATACTACAAAAAAAGAAAATTACAGACCAATATCACTCATGAATATAGATGCAAAAATCCTCAACAAAATACTAGCAAACAGAATCCACCAACACATTAAAAGGATCATACACCATGATCAAGTAGGATTTATCCCAGGGATGCAAGGATTCTTCAGTATACTCAAATCAATCCATGTGATACACCGTATTAACAAATTGAAGAAGAAAAACCATATGATCATCTCAATAGCTGCAGAAAAAGCTTTTGACAAAATTCAACACCCATTTATGATAAAAACTCTCCAGAAAGTGGGCATAGAGGGAACCTACCTCAACATAAGAAAGGCCATATATGGCAAAACCACAGCAAACATCATTCTCAATGGTGAAAAACTGAAAGCATTTCCTCTAAGATCAGGAACGAGACAAGGATGTCCACTCTCACCACTATTATTCAACATAGTTTTGGAAGTCCTAGCCATGGCAATCAGAGAAGAAAAAGAAATAAAAGGAATACAAATTGGAAAAGAAGTAAAACTGTCACTGTTTGCAGATGACATGTTACTATACATAGAGAATCCTAAAGATGCCACCAGAAAACTACTAGAGCTAATCACCGAATTTGGTAAAGTTGCAGGATACAAAATTAATGCACAGAAATCTCTTGCATTCCTATATAACAATGATGAAAACTCTGAAAGAGAAATTAAGGAATCACTCACATTTACCATTGCAACAAAAAGAATACCTAGGAATAAACTTACCTAGGGAGACAAAAGACCTATATGCAGAAAGCTATAAGACACTGATGAAAGAAATTAAAGATGATACCAACAGATGGAGAGATATACCATGTTCTTGCATTGGAAGAATCAATATTGTGAAAATGACTATACTACCCAAAGCAATCTACAGATTCAGTGCAATCCCTATGAAATTACCAATGGCATTTTTTACAGAACTAGAACAAAAAATCTTAAAATTTGTATGGTGACACAAAAGACCCTGATAGCCAAAGCAGTCTTGAGGGAAAAAAACGGAGCTGGAGGAATCAGACTCTCTGACTTCAGACTATACTACAAAGCTACAGTAATCAAAACAATATGGTACTGGCACAAAAACGGAAATACAGATCAATGGAACAAGATAGAAAGCCCAGAGATAAACCCATGCACCTATGGTCAGCTAATCTATGACAAAGGAGGCAAGGATATACAACGGAGAAAAGACAGTCTCTTCAGCAAATGGTGCTGGGAACACTGGACAGCTACATGTAAAAGAATGAAATCAAAATACACCCTAACACCATACACAAAAATAGACTCAAAATGGATTAGAGACCTAAACTTAAGACCGGACACTATAAAACTCTTAGAGGAAAACATAAGAAGAACAGTCTTTGACATAAATCCCAGCAAGATCTTTTTTGATCCACCTCCTAGAGTAATGGAAATAAAAACAAAAATAAACAAATGGGACTTAATGAAACTTAGAAGGTTTTGCAAAGCAAAGGAAACTACAAACAAGACAAAAAGACAACCCTCAGAATGGGAGAAAATATTTGCAAACGAATCAATGGACAAAGGATTAATCTCCAAAATGTATAAACAGTTCAAGGAGCTCAATATTAAAAAACAAACAACCCAATCCAAAAATGGGCAGAGGACCTAAATAGACATTTCTCCAAAGAAGACATACAGATGGCCAAGTGGCACATGAAAAGCTGCTCAACATCACTAATTATTAGAGAAATGCAAATCAAAACTACAGTGAGGTATCACACACCAGTTAGAATGGGCATCATCAGCAAATCTACACACAATAAATGCTGGAGAGGGTGTGGAGAAAAGGGAACCCTCTTGCACTGCTGGTGGGAATGTAAATTGATACAGCCACTATGGAGAACAGCATGGAGGTTCCTTAAAAAACTAAAAGTAGAATTACTATATGATCCAGCAATTCCACTACTGGGCATATACCCAGAGAAAACCATAATTCAAAAAGACACATGCACCTCAGTGTTCATTGTAGCACTGTTTACGACAGCCAAGACATGGAAGCAACCTAAATGCCCATCGACAGAGAAATGGATATAGAAGATGTGGTACATATATACAATGGAATATTACTCAGCCATAAAAAGGAACGAAATTGGGTCATTTGTAGAGACGTGGATGGATCTAGAGACTGTCATACAGAGTGAAGTAAGTCAGAAAGAGAAAAACATCATGTATTAACGCATATATGTGGAACCTAGGAAAATGGTACAGATGAACCAGTTTGCAGGGCAGAAATAGAGACACAGACATAGAGAACAAATATATGGACACCAAGAGGGGAAAGTGGTGGGGCGGTGGTGGTGCTGGTGTGATGAATTGGGCGATTGGGATTGACATGTATATACTGATGTGTATAAAATTGATGACTAATAAGAGCTTGCTGTATAAAAAAAAAAACAAAAAAATAGAAACATTGTACATATTGTCAGGGATATGTGATCTAATGGATTAAAGGATACCAAATTTTATTGCTTTGAATTTGCAAAAAAAAAGAAATTAAAAATAAATAAAATATAAAAATTGCCTCACTAACAAACTCAGGTGTTTTGAAAGTGGCTTGTTATGAATAACAAAGGACACTCCTTTCATCTTTATCACTCTGTAGGTATTTCAGCAACTGGGGATAAAACCAAATATTATAATAAAAGATGCTTCTTTCACCTGTTTTAGGATCCAGGGAGAAAAAACAATTATAACAAGAGATGTTCCTAGTACTCTTATCACTTAGGAAGTGATAAAGAGTTTTAGAAGCTCTGTGCCAAGAACCAGGACAAAGACCAAATATGTATTTCTTATTATATCAAAATATCACAGTCATCAAGCTTGTTGATTTTAAAAATAAAAGAGTCAGTTATTTTACCAGCAAAAATTGGTTTAATTGGGAATAGCAGAGAGTTGCAATTCAGGACAAATAAGCCACAGCAAAAACCATAGGCAAGTCCAACAAACAAAGGAGAGGAATGTTATTTTATAGAGAAAATGGAGGAAGTTGGAAAAGGTTGTTTTGAATGAAAGCACACTGAAGAAAAGTGAGGGTTCAGGGTGATGACACTTCCTCATTGGCTGAGTTGCTGGGGTAGTCGAATTCTTGTAGGATACTCAACATACACCTCTTCCTGTTGGGGCCTGTAATTGGTGATTTTTTCCTGTTGATCATTCTTCTGTTGGGATCTGTAGTTGACTTTGAGTGGTACTGCATGAGAGCTTCCACTCCTAGCCTCTTGATGCCATTTTTAGTGAGGTTTCCCTTTATTAATTTTCACAGGTTTACAATATACAGCTTTCTGTGTGCATGTTACACTTAGATTTTTTTTAATATAAATTTATTTATTTATTTTTGCCTGTGTTGGGTCTTTTTTCTGCGCGTGGACTTTCTTTAGTTGCGGCGAGTGGGGGGCTACTCTTTGTTGCGGTGTGCAGGCTTCTCATTGTGGTGGCTTCTCTTGCTGTGGAGCACAGGCTCTAGGCACGTGGGCTTCAGTAGTTGTGGCATGTGACCTCAGTAGTTGTGGCGAGCGGGCTCTAGAGTGCAGGCTCAGTAGTTGTGGTGCACAGGCTTAGTTGCTCTGCAGCATGTGGGATCTTCCCAGACCAGGGCTCGAACCCATGTCCCCTGCATTGGCAGGCTGATTGTTAACCACTGCCACCAGGGAAGCCCCCGACACTTTGATGTTTTTAAAACCCTTATTAATTTAAAAAAATTCAGGGGGACTTCCCTGGCAGTCCAGTGGTTAAGACTCTGCACTTCCACTGCAGGGGGCACAGGTTTGATCCCTGGTCGGGGAGCTAAGATCCCACATGCCATGTGGTGTGGCCAAAAAAAAAAATCAGGAGATTTGAAGTAGCTAAACCATTTTTGTTTTTCACCAGTTCATTAATGGAAGTTTCCGTAAGAACCCCACTGTCTATGAACATGCCTATCACACAGACACAGTGGGGGTCAATAGCCAATCTAGCTAGTGGGGTCTGCTAAGATTCTTTGAGATTAATGTTTGAACAAGAAATGTCAAACAGATATAGGGGTGAAGTCTTAATTTGGTTTACCCCAGAGTAGGACCTGAGATGAGAATTGCATGTAGTTTGTGAGATGATTCTGTCACCTAACTCAGGTTCAGCCACTTATCACTCAAGAATCCAATACTGAGAGACAAGTGTTGGGTAAAAGGAAAGACAGCTTTACTGAGGAAGCTTGCAATCCTGGGGAAGAGGTGGACTCGTCCCAAAGAACAAACTCCTGACTTCCCAGGTTTTACTCAGAAATTATATTGGAAAAGAAGGGGATACATCCTGAGGAGAGGGTTGTGGGTTATGTGATCAGCTCATGGACATTCTTCCGATTGGTTGGTGGTGAGGTACTCAGGAGTCAACAGCATCAACCTTCTGGTTCTGACTAGTCTGGAGTCTACGTGCTTGTAGGCGGGATATAATTAACTTCTTCCATCTGGCAAGCGTTTCAGTATCTGCAAAATAGCTCAAAGAATATGGCTTAGAATATTATCTATAGTCCTTGAGGAGGAACTAAAGGTCCTTGATTTTGTTTAGTGGCTAAACTATTATTATCTTGTCTTATTTGACTGTTTTCCTTTGTCTCTGCATTTTCTCACTTCTCTGATTAAATTTATTCATTGGAACTCAGGGAAGGCCTAGGAGGCTAAAGTTTTTCTACAGATAATAGGCAGGCAGAGGAAATGTGTGTGTGTAGGGGTTCTGTCCCAGGAAGGCCCCATAGCGTCCTGCTCAGTTACAATTTCAGGAAGCACCCATAGTACAGAAGTAGGAAAGTGAGACAGAGAAGGGAAGATAGCCAACACAGAGTACAGGTTCCCTCTGTGGGTAGTTGAGGCTCAATCCCTCTAAAGTCCTTTTGATGATGGCCCCCATTTTAAAATACAGAAATGGGGGATGAGAGATATTAAGTAATCTGCACAAGCTCACAGAGTTAAGAAGTGGTAGAACAAGAATTTGTACCAATCTGATCAGAGACCAATGACAGTTTAGCCTGAAGGACACCAAGCCAGGTTTTAGAAACTGGAATCTAGAAATGAGGGAAAAGGAAACCAATGCAAGCAGGTTGCAAGCAAATTGAGTGATCGCCTGGAACTGGCACTGTGTCTGAATTTTGCTTTTATATGATGACTGGGTCAGGTGAAAGGTTGAGTCTGGTGATGGAGCTAATGAAATGTATGGAATTCTCTTTCAAGAATATGAGCTCAGACATTCTCAATGAATCCTTTTGTAGTCTTTATAAATTCATAAGTTAAAGAACCCCTTCCTCTGATGTACTGGTGTAGGTAAGTATCTGGACTGAATGCATTTTCCTGAAGGTTGCACTATGAGCAATCTAAAAAAGTTGGATAAACCAGGTTGGCAGCCCCCCTGACAAAGTATCATTTTAACAAGCCCTATTTCCATCCACATGTGCTACTCTTACAAGAACTCTTAGGGTAAGGTGGCCATTAGTAAACTTACTACTGGTAACTTCATCTCTGGCAAAAACTCCTGGATCTTTTCCCTGGGTCAGAAATAACATTACTCTCTTACTGTCTGTACTTTGAGTTCAGCACTCAAAGATAGTACTCAAAGTATTTAATTGTTAGTACTTGATTCAGCTCTAGGATGAACAACAAAAACCTGCTGCTGCTTTAGAAGCTTGTTTCTCAGATGCTTGTTTTAGCAGACCAAAGTACTATTTAGTTCTTGGCACTGCTGTTTAGGTCTTGAGTTCCTCGTTCTTTCAAAGATCTGTACCCTGAAACAGAAAGCAGGCAGAAATCTAGGTTGCAGCTTTGCTATGAAAAAGGTTTGTGGAAGAAAATATTTTTAAAATATACAACTGATAAAGTACCATTATTCAAAATATACAAAGAGCTCCTAAAACTCAACAATAAGAAAACAACCTGATTTTAAAAGGGCAAAACACTTGAACAGAGATTTCACAGAAGATACACAGACGGCAAGTAAGCATATGAAAGATACTCGACATCATTTGTCATTAGGGAATTACAAATTAAAATAATGAGATACCACTACACACTTATTAGAGTGGCCAAAATCCAAAACAATGACAACACCGAATGCTGGCAAGAATGCAGAGCAAAAAGAACTCTAACTCCATTGCTGGTAGAAATACAAAATAGTACAGCCACTTTGGAAGACACTTACAAACTAAACATACTCTTACCATGCAATCCAGCAATCGAGATCCTTGGTATTTACTCAATAAATTGAAAACTTATGTCCACACAAAAACCTACACATGTGTATTTATAGCAGCTTTATTCATAGTTGCCAAAACTTAGAAGCATTCAAGATTCCTTCAGTAGGTGAATGGATAAAGAAACTGTGGTACATTCAGGCAATGGAATATTATTCAGTGCTAAAAAGAAATGAGCTAACAGGACTCCCCTGGCAGTGCAGTGGTTAAGAATCCGCCTGCCAATACAGGGGACATGGGTTCGAGCCCAGGTCCGGGAAGATCCCACATGCCGCGGAGCAACAAAGCCTGCGAGCCGCAACTACTGAAGCCCGTGCACCTAGAGCCTGTGCTCTGCAACAAGAAAAGCCACCGCAATGAGAAGGCCGTGCACCACAACGAAGAGTAGCCCCCGCTTGCCACAACTAGAGAAAGCCCACATGCAGCAACGAAGACCCAACACAGCCAAAAATAAATAAATATTTTAAAATGTTTTTTTTTTAAAAAAAGGAAAAGGAATGAGCTATCAAGCCATGAAAAGACTTGGAGGAAAATTAAATGCATATCACTAAGTAAAAGAAGCCAATCTGAAAAGGCTACATACTGTGTGATTCTGGCCATATGACATTCTGGGAAAAGCAAAACTAGGGAGACAGTGAAAAGATCAGTGGCTGCCAGAGATTTGTGGGGAGGGAGAGATGAATAGGCAGAGCACACAGTGCAACTATTCTGTATGATATTACAATGGTGGATACAGATTACTATGCATTTGTCAAAACCTTTAGACTGGACAACACCTAGAGTGAACCCTAACGTAAACTAGAGACTTTGGATAATAAGGATGTGAAAATGTAGGTTCATCACTTGTGACAGATGTACCGCTGTGGTACATGGATGTCTACTGTGGGGGAGGGTGAGTCTGTGTGAGGGGAGGGATATATGAAAACTCTCTGTACTTTCTGCTCTTTTGCCTGGGAACCTAAAACTGCTCTAAAAAATAAAGTTCATTAGTTAAAAAAAAAAAGTTTGGAAAGCAAAATGACAGGGGACAAGGAGGGTCCAGAAGGTGAACCTGGCAGAAGAGAAGAGGAAATTCAAAGATTGGGCAGACAACAGGCCAAATAGCAGAGAGGCAATCAAGAATGGAATGATCAGCAGGTTCTGTTTAGGTCTGTACAGACAAGAGGTGGTCAGTGCAAGTAGGGAGAAGGGAACAAGTATTGGATCTGGATGGGCAGGCAGTATCCTAAAGGAAGCAGCACTGGTGGGTGGAATTGGCAGGCTCTGATCCCAGAGCCAAACCATTTGCTCTTTACCCTGTTCTAAACATTCTTCCAGAGGCTGGGGGCTGGTCCCCCAATGGCTCATGCTGAGTGCGCTGAGGACAGAGATGCCAGGTTACGTGAGAGTTTCCACCATTGTTTCTTTCCTTCTCTATTTCCTTGTCAAGGTACTGGCCACAGGTCTACCCATCAGAAAACTAGCGTTAGCTCCAGAGAAATGAAGGGCTTCTGAAGAAACCCCAGCAAAGAACTTGATGTATAAAGTCTCGTGCATGGAATTCCCTGGCTGTCCAGTGGTTACGACTCTCTGCTTCTACTGCAGGGGGCCCGGGTTTGATCCCTGGTGGGGGAACTAAGATCCCACATGCCGCACAGTGTGGCAAAAAAAAAAAAAGTCTCCTTCACTTTGCTGAGCTCCTTAAGGACAGAGCCCCAACTATAAAAGGCTTAATCAATAAGGCAAAGTTATTAATGCTCATAAGCACATTAGCAATGAAAGAGTTCTAGGGGAGGTTAATTCAGTGACAGCTTCTTTCTTCCTTTTTTTAAACTTTACCCTTTTTCCAATCTCTTTCTATTCCCCACCCTCCACCCCCCGGTCCCTGGCAACCACTTTTCTACTCTCTGTTTCTATGAATTTAACTTTATATTTAGAGTCCGCATATAAGTGGTACCATGCAGTATTTGTCCTTCTCTGTCTGACTTATTTCACCTAGCATAATGCCCTCAAGGTCCATCCATGTTGTTGCAAACATCAGAATTTTCTTCTTTCTTGGACACTTAGCTTGTTTCCATATCTTGGCTATTGTGAATAATGCTGCAGTGAACATGGGAGTGCAGGTCTCTCGTCGATACCCGGTATTCATTTCCTTCAGATATACATATATACCCAGAAGTGGGATTGCTGGATCAGAGTAGTAGTTCTATTTTTAATTTTTGAGGAACTTCCATACTATTTTCCTTTGGGACAGGTTCTTTTCCTCTCTCTGCTCTGCTGCCCTGGCTTACTCCCTGAGGCTGGTTCCCCTCACGGCCGTAATAGGCTGGATGCTGCAGTCCCTGGCATCATATGAAGGAAAATCCAACAATATTGAGGGATGAAGAGAACATTTTCTCCCATGTGTTTCTTTTTATCATCAGAAAAACTCTTCTCCCAGTCACAAGAAGACACAATTCCCCTTATGTGAGGAGTTAGAATAGCCAAATTCACAGAGACAGAAAGTGGAATGGTGGTTTCAGGGGCTGAGGAGAGGGGAGAATGTGAAGTTGGTATTTAATAGGTACAGACTTTCAGCTGGGGAAGATGAAAAAGTTCTGGAGATGGAAATGGTGGTAATGTTTGGACAACAGTGTGTATGTTCTTAATGTCACAGAACTGTACACTTAAAATGGTCAAAAATGGTAACATTTTTAAATTGAGATATAATTGCCATATAACATTGTATTAGTTTCAGGTATACAACGTAATGATTCTATACATGTATGCAGTACATGATGATCACCATTGTAAGTGTAGTTAATGTTCATCACCACACACAGTTACAATTTTTTCCTGTGATGAAAACTTTTAAAATCAAGTCTCTTAGCAACTTTCAAATATACAATACAGTGTTATTAAATATAGTCACCATGCTGTACATTACATCCCCAGGACTTATTATTATAACTAGAAGTCTGTACTTTTTGACTACCTTCACCCATTTCACCCACCCCCCCAACCAAAAATGGTAAATTTTATGTTATGTATATTTTATCACAAGTTTAAAAAAATGTTTTCTCAGAAGCCCCACAGTAAATCTCCTCTCACATTTCATAGGGCAGAATTCTGCCACCTGCCAATTCCTAAACCAATGATAATGGCAACAATAATAAAATTACTGTGATTGGTTTGGTCTAATCAAGATTCACCACCCTTGTGACTAAGGGGGTGGGTAGACCCAGAGTCCCCTGAAGTACACAGCTGCCCAATGCTCGAACAATATTTGGATTTAGATTCTGTTAATGAGGAAAAAATAGCGGGGATGGGGAGGTATTGGGGAGGATGGCCACTGGGTAGGATACAAAGACCCTAGCAAGGTTTCCCCACTGAGGCAAGGAAGGACTTGATTCCTTCAGGACACCCAAACTTTTCTGAAAATTCATGTGAGACTTACTGACTCCAGCCCCCAGGAGGCCTTGGGGACTCATACTGTCTCTCAGGTCTGTCCCTTTCCCTTTTCACTCCAAGGACAGACATTGTAATCTCATCACTTCACCTCTGACTGTGATACCAGTCTCCTGAGGAACATCTCTGCCTCTGGTTTCATTCCCATTTGGATCCATCTTAAACACCAGTGCTAGAATAACTTACAGAACCAACACCGCACATATGTCCAAACTGCTTACCAGGCTGGCTAGAACCCTTTTGCAATCCTCGTTTTCAGTCTCCCTAATAGTATGCTTCTTAGGGCAAGGATTTTGCCTTACTCATTTTATTCCTAATACCTGGAATAGTGCTGATCATTCATTCATAGGTTTTGCCCATTCAATTTATATTTATGGTGTTCAGCAAATATTGAATAAGTAAATAAATTATTCAATGAATGAATAAATCCATGACCTGACTTTTACCAGTTTGTGTCGTTTTTCTTTTTCTCACATGAATCTTTTGTTGATAGAAAGTCAACAAAATACTCACTCATTGTTCCCTGACCACATCATGTACCTTGCCAACCACCCCTGTGAATTTACCCACAGTTTCTCCAGTTTGTAATGTTCTTCTCTCTCTTCTCTGATAATCAGAGACCTACATTTCCCTTAAGGCCAAGACCAAATCCCACCTTCAATGTGAGTGCTTCTCAGTTATCCAAGGCTTCAGTGACCTACTCTCTCATCATCTATGATTTTTACGGTCTGTATCTACTCAGCACACATTTTATATATATTTTAAGTATATATTATCTTTTAAGTATCTCCCCAGTTAGTATTTAAACCCCTTGAATTCAGGAATCCTGTTTTATGTCTGTTTTTATTTCCAATACCTAATCTAATACTACAATAAATATAAGTTTCTAAGGATGGTCGGATTTTTTTGCATTGATATAATACATCATAAAAAGTCTGGGGCTTCTTTAAATCTAATTGAGATTATAAGTGAATAATTAAGGTCTTAAAATTAGAGAGTAATATTTCCATTAAATTTAATCCTAGTATATGTATACATTGTGTACCCGTATATCCATTTACCAGAATATACACAGAGCCACAATTACATCTGGCTGTTGTACTAGGTTGATGAACTATGGTCACTTTTCAAAGGCAAATATTATAGTGTATCCCAGGACACCTGTGTTCATAGGATCAGCCCTTTGAAACTATATTTGGATGTACAAGCTATTAAAAGCTTCTTGTACTGAGTGACCTTTCAGGCAGAATTTAGATCGAATACTCACACTGCTGCTGCCTGTTGCTGAGTGGAAGAGAGCAGAAAACCCTGGATTCAAACCTCTACTGGGTTTTTGTTTTGCTTGTTTTCTTTTTCATTTTGCCTTAAGAAGATGAACAATGAAACCACAACCCTGATATCCTTAAAGGAGGCAATGAAAAGGTTGCTAATGGCTACAGGGAGGGAGCAAGCATGGGTCTGCTTTTCTGGGAAGATGAGTAAGAGAAGAATGAAGAATAAAAATAAGCAAAGAACTATGGACATGCTAATTAGAATTCTTTCTCTGTTAACGTGTTCAGGTTCAAAAAATGTCAATTAATAATAAAGAAAAATCTACTCCCAGGTGCTATAATTCCATTCAATTAATGTATGTGCTATATGCCAGGTTTGCAAAAATAAGTAACATGTGGTTTCTGCCCTCAAGGAGCTCACAGCCTTAGGAATAACAGAAGTATTCAAAAATGCTTACAATTTAATGTGACTGACATTATAATGGTGATGTTCCTAAAGGGCTATGAGAACATGAAGAGAGGAATGAATTTTGCCTTTGACACTAGGAAAGGGAACCCTTCATAGAGGGACATTTAGGCTGGATCTGAAAGTGTGAGTAGGAGTTTACAAGAAATAAAAATACGGTAAGGAATTCTAGGCTGAGGAAACAGTACATGGAAGCATAGAAGCTTGGAATCGCATATGGTATTCTGTCAGCAGCTAGATGTCTCATATGACTGGTGACTAGGATGTGTGAGAGGACTGGTAGAAGATGGGGGCGAAGGGCAAAGAGCCTGTTTCCTGCTGAGGAAGTCCAACTTGGCTCCAGCAATATCACTGGGCAAGTTGGCAGCATAAAACGTATATAATAGTCAAATTATAAAATCAGAATTGTGTTTTAGAAGAATATCTCTGGAGAATGGATTGGACGTGAAAAGGAGGAATCAAGTTAGACTACTGTAATCCTAGGTCCAAGTGAAAGATGGCGATTAACTGGCTTACTGGAGATAGGACGGGATAGATTAGAGACACACTGATGGAGAGAAAGGGAAAAAATGGTGAGTTATTCTGAGATTTCTAGTTCGAGGAATTGGGTAGATGGTGATGTCATTAACTGAGCTGGAGAATTGTAGTAGAAATGCAGACATGTTGTTTAGGATTTATGTGGAATGATCGGGAATGCCTTTTGGTGAAAAGATTCCAAAGAAATGCTCCAATTGTAAACCTTTATACTGAATGACAAGCTAGAGTTTCCCTCTAGAGTTCAAGCTGGAGATGACCTAAAAGCAGTATCTTCTTAAAGGTCTAAAAGTTAATACAAAGAGTTTGCCAGATACCATAGTTTTGACTTGCAGACAGAGATTACTGGCATATTAGGTCATGCAGGCCTATACTACAAAAATGCACATTTCGTACAGAGCCTTATCTATATGTAAATAGAATCCAAAGCAATGAGAAAATTCCATTGCCGAAATTTCTGAAGATGGGGTGCGAGAGGAGGGAGGAGGGACTTAGTAGATTCAGCTTAAGACAGTTGAGTTTGACATCACTATCCAGGTGGAGATGTGCAAAACATAGCTGAATATACAGGTCTAGAGCTTAGGAGAGGGGTCGTACCTGAAGCTAAATTAGCCTTGGGAGAAAGTAAAGACCAAGAAGAGAAAATGGTCAAGGATAGAACCCTAGGCAACCACAACAGTATTCGGGTGACTGGGGACATAGAAACTCAGGGAACTGGCTGTGTGCGTATCATTTCCTTCGTGAAAGACAATGTGGGTGGCTTCAGGCAAGTGAGTTGTGTGGTTCCAATTCTTTGTGGTTCAGTTAGACATAATTTTGGTGCCACAGCGCCCTCTAATGATCAGGGCTGTTCAGAGCTACTCAGATCCCCCTTTTGCTGTTGCACTGCTTAGCATTTCACTAACATCAAAAATGTCAATCATAGGAGACACGTTGTATTACTTCTGTGTAAGACCTCTTATAGGTATTGGGGGACAGGCATAAAGATGTCCAAGAAATAGTCTCTGATCCTCTCCCTCCAAGAGCTTACAACTTAGATCATGAAAAACTCTTTTTGAGACTCAATTTCTTTATCCGTAAATAGTAAAAATGACTGCTTTACTTCTAATGGTTGTTGTGAGAATCAAATTAAAGCTTGTATAAAATATTTTTTAACGTATAAAGTATGGTACGAAGACAAGACATGGCATGTAATTGAGGTAATTAGACAATTCACATGTTTGGCAATATAAGGAATGCCAGAACTAGGATGATGACTAGAGAGAACGGCAAATGGGAACAACTGTTCATAATCTTAAAATGTAAATAGCTACTCAAATTTGATAGTGGTTATAAACAATGTATTATAGCCTTATATTAAGACAGAACCTTAGTTTTGTGCCCTGACCTAAATTAACCCTTGATTCTTTTATCCTATAGAGTAGACCACAAACTCCAAGCATTAGAAGCACAGTTTAAAGAACTGGACTTCACCAAGGATAATCTGACACAGAAATTTGAACATCATAGCAAGACTCTGGCAAACCAAGCTGCCCAATATGAGCTGTGGACAGCAGTTCTGTCATTCAAGTGAGTATCCAATCAGAAATCAGTGGAATTTTGTGGTTTTGTGAGAGCTTGCTGTGCTCATTCTAAAATTGGGTTTCTTTTTTTTAAAAAAATAAATTTATTTATTTATTTTTGGCTGCGCTGGATCTTCGTTGCTGCATACGGGCTTTCTCTAGTTGCAGCAAGCAGGGGCTTCTCTGGTTGTGGAGCATGGGCTCTAGGCACGCAGGCTTCAGTAGTGGCAGCACACGGGCTCAGTAGCTGTGGCTCACAGGCTCTAGAGCACAGGCTCAGTAGTTGTGGCGTACAGGCTTAGTTGCTCCGCAGCATGTAGGATCTTCCTGGACCAGGGCTCGAACTCGTGCCCCCTGCATTGGCAGGCAGACTCTTAACCACTGTGCCACCTGGGAAGTCCCTAAAATTGGGTTTCTTAATATGGTTCCAACAATGGATTGTGAAGAAGTTACATTTTCTTAAGCTCATTCATTCAAAAGAGATTAATTTGAGCACCTGTTTACTTGCCAGAACTGTGGTACACATCTCAGAGTCCCTTGCTTGCCAAAGTCTTACTAACATAGAGATGGATAATATAACTCCTCTGCCATGGAGAAACTTACAGTATGAGTGGCCTGAGATCTAAGCTATCCAGTTTAGTGCAAGCCCTATTTCTTTTCTTTTCTTTTTTTTAAAATTCTTTTAATAGTGTGTATCTGTTAATCCCAAACTCCTAATTTATCTCTCCCCTTCCCCTCTGGTAACCGTAAAATTGTTTTCTATGTCTGTGAATCTGTTTTGTAAATAAGTTCATTTGCATAATTTTTTTAGATTCCACATATAAGTGATATCATGTGGCATTTGTCTTTGTCTGACTTAATTATGATAATCTCTAGGGCCACCCATGTTTCTGCAAGTGTCATTATTTTGTTCTTTTTTATGTCTGAGTAACATTCCTCTATATATATGTATCACATCTTCTCTATCCATTCATTGGTCGATGGACACTTGGGTCGCTTCCATGTCTTGGCTATTGTAAATAACTACTATGAACACTGGCAGGCCCTATTTCTAAAGTAAGCATTTTCTAAACTGCAACAGCTGGTTGTTACCTGAAAACTGGGTTCAACTCTTGGTGGGCGTTGAACCAAAAGACAACCAAGCCAAAGACTGGGACAAGAAAGGATGTATTACTTGCAGCAAGTAAGGAAAACACCAGGGATCTTCCCCAAAGCAGCGTCTTCCCAAACAGCAAAACTGGGGAAGTTTTAAGCTAAGGGTACATGCATAATCATGAAGGGGCTTGAATAGAGGAGAACTCAGCAGCAAATTGGGGCAAAGGTTGACAGAGTCCAAGCTTTAGTTGACTGAAGTCATAAGGGTCAGAAAAGGTCAACATCATTATTCCATCTTCCACTGGGTGGGGACCTCAGTTCCTGCAGAACTCAAAAGATATGTATCAGATTATTATATATATCCCTTGAGGAGGAACTAGGACTCTTATTACTAAACTACTTTTTCTTGAAGCTTTTCCTTTGTCCCTGCATTCCCTCACTTACCATTAAAATCATGAATTACTGAGACCTGTTCAAGGTCAAGCACTGTGGCCAGGATTAGATCACAAAATGGCTTAGGTCAAAAATGGCTTCTCTTGGGCTTCCCTGGTGGAGCAGTGGTTGAGAGTCCGCCTGCCGATGCAGGGAACATGGGTTCATGTCCCGGTCCGGGAGGATCCCACATGCCGCGGAGCGGCTGGGCCTGTGAGCCATGGCCACTGGGCCTGCGCGTCCGGAGCCTGTGCTCTGCAGCGGGAGAGGCCACAACAGTGAAAGGCCCACATATCGCAAAACAAACAAACAAAAAATGGCTTCTCTTATGTCAAGAGAGCCATGCCTGGTTCTCTTTCTCTGGGGACCTCCTACTGTATCTGCTTACAGTTATCCTAGTAGGTTTATACTTCTTTGAATTATCCTAAGAAAATTCATTTTATGTTTGTATGTAAAGAGTTCTAATGCTTAAGAAGCTCTCCACATTTTTTGTAGGTTCACTCCAATGGAATTGAATATTTTATACAGCTACGTCATTGAAGTACTCATCCGCTTGCACACTCGTGTGCTTGAGAAGCTGCCAGATCTGGTGAGAGGTCTTCCCACCTTAGCCTCCATCCTTAGACGAAAAGTCAAGAACAAGCGCATTAGAGTTGTATGGGAATCTGTTCTGGAGGAGCATGGGATGCAAGAAGAAGATATCACAGCACTGTGTACCTTCTTTGTAGCACATGGTAACAAGGCAGAACACTACATTGCTAAAGTAAGGCAAATGTATATAAAAGATGTCAATTTCATGATCACTAATATGGTAAAGAACCAGGCTCTGCAGGATGGTTTGCTAAAGGCTGTTCAGGTCATTGAGAAGGGAAAAGCAGTGAGGGCCCCTGAAGAGCAAAAGTCATCCCTAGAAGAGTTGATACCATCAGCCAAAAGCTAACCTGTAACCCTAGACCCAGAGATTACGCTTCTAGTAATTTATCTTGCAAATGGGAAAAAATACATACATGCAACTTATTACAGGGTTATTTTTATAGCAAAAGTGAGGAGAGTGTTAAATTATGATATACTGATACAGTGGATACTTTCTGTGTAGCAATACAAGAGAATGAAGAAGCTCTTCATGTAATCGTATAGTAATATGCAGTTATCACCAAGATGTGTTGTTTTAAAATATTCATTTCCAGGGCTTCCCTGGTGGCGCAGTGGTTGAGAGTCTGCCTGCCGATGCAGGGGACACGGGTTCGTGCCCCGGTCCGGGAAGATCCCACATGCCATGGAGCGGCTGGGCCCATGAGCCATGGCCGCTGAGCCTGCGCATCCTGAGCCTGTGCTCCACAACGGGAGAGGCCACAACAGTGAGAGGCCTGCGTACCGCAAAAAAAAATAAAAAATAAAAAAATAAAATAAAATATTCATTTCCAATATATATTGCTAAATGGAAAAAAACGAGCAAAAACAAACATATAGGCTACTATATCTATAAACTTCATAAACTTCTTCTGGAGAAATACATTAAAAAGTGGTAACACTGGTTTTCTTAGGGAAGAAAACTGAGAAGCTAGGGATCAAATGTAGGAGGAAGTCTTTTCAATGTTAATCTATTTGTACTTTTTGAATTTTGAACCATGTGAATGTATGTACTAAAAGCAATAAATAAATAAAACATCTAATATATTTTGTATGTTGATGTGCATTTTCTCTCTAGTACAGTTCCATAGTTACTTGTACTAGAAAGGGAATTCTCACACACTGACCATATATTTATAATTTTTTAAAAAATTTATTTATTTGGCTGTGCCAGGTCTCAGTTGTGGCATGCGGGACCTTCGTTGCCACGTGTAGGATCTTTAGTTGTGGCATGCGAACTCTTAGTTGCGGCATGTGGGATCTAGTTCCCTGACCAGGGATCGAACTCATGCCCCCTGCACTGGGAGCGTGGAGTCTTAGCCACTGGACCACCAGGCAAGTCCTATTTATAATTTTTTTTTTCTCCCGTTGCGGAGCACAGGCTCCAGACGCACAGGCTCAGCGGCCATGGCTCATGGGCCCAGCCGCTCCACGGCATGTGGGATCTTCCCGGACCGGGGCACGAACCCGTGTCCCCTGCATCGGCAGGTGGACTCTCAACCACTGCGCCACCAGGGAAGCCCTATAATATTTTTTGAATAAATGCCATGCACTAGGTAGTGTGAATAACAGAAACATTTTAAAATGTGGATCCTGCCCTACAGGTAAAAGTTAAACACTGATGCTTTATTTGGGAGGTACAAATTCAGGACAACCAGAATGAGTAACACTTTGGAAGGCTGTTATGTAGAGAAGGATGAGAAGTAATACAAGATGATGTGTTACCTTGCTGGCTCCTCCTTGACAATAGGTTGCTTGCTAGATCCATGCACTCAGTCTTGTCCTTCTCCAGACACATTGTTTAGAGACACCATGCCAAATAAAAAAAAAGAGAGAGAGAGAAACCATGTGTTGGAAGTGTTACTGAACCAAACTTGGTCTGTTTGCCCGCCATGCAGCAAAGCCAACCTACTGACATGGGGGTGTGTTGAAGGAAAGTGCAGCGTTTATTGCAGGGCACCAAGCAAAGAGAACGGGCAGCTAGTGCTGGAAAGACGACAGGAACTCCTCTGTGGCTTCCAGAGAAGGGTTTTAAAGGCACCTTTTGATGTGAGGGTTGCAGCTCACGGATTTTTTTGATTGGTTGATTGTGAGGTAACAGGGTGATGTTTCCGGAATCTTAATCATCAACCGATTTCTACAAGTTTAGGGTCTAGTGCTTGTGATCAGCATGTAGTCACCATCCTCCACCTGGGTGGGGTGAGCCTTAATTTCTTCAGAACTCAAAAGATATACATCAGATCGTGTACATCCCTTGAGAAGGAACTAGAAGTGTTTTATCACTGAAGTATTGTTTAACCTATTATTAATTTTTCTACTTGGCTGCTTTTCCTTTGTTTCTGCATTTCCTCCCTTCCCTAATTTGTAACTGCTTGAGTCTGCTCTTTGGAACTCAGGGAAGGGCTAGGAAACAAAAGCCTTTGTTTCCTACAAGAAACAGGAAACATGGAGGGGCCTTTGTAGCCGGAAGGGCCCTGCAGGGTCCTGCTTGGTTTCAATCCCCCCTTTTCTTTGATACTCCTCAATCCTACTGGAACAAAAAAGGGAATAAAGTTTTCTACAGAGAGGTTAATCATAAACTTGGCAGGGAAACTCGATTTTAGAGGGGCTTGGTTTCAATAGGAAGAAGGAAGGAAAATTTCTCTGTTGTGCTCACAAAGTCTACTGTTTTCAATTGGTCAAAATTGGCTCTGTGGGGAGTGACCCCCTCATACTTCCAGGATGCATCATCTAAGCCCTCCTAGCAGCCACTGGGAAGCCAGTGACTGCATTGTTCAGCGCAGTGTTTCACAGGATCCCAGAAGTGGCAGGAGAAGCCAGAGATTCCAGTAATGCAACTGGTCAGCCCCAGGCAGAGGAAAGGACTGTGGGTCTGCAAAGTAAACGAGGCCAGGGAAATCTGAGGAAGCACATAAAATGTATCCATTACACAAGACACAGGTACCGGAAAATAGAAATCAAAATGCAAGAGTTAAAATAAGATTACAAAAAACCCCATAATCACTAGGCAATATACAAATGAGTGAGTTCAGAGGAGGGGTATCATCGTGTGGTGGAGAAGTATCTCCTAGAGGAAGTGCCTTGAACGAGGCAAAGCCATGAAGCAACTCATTTAGGATGAACTGAGATTTCAAGCAATGGCCCCAAAACACAAGATTTGTATGACAGTGAATAGATCATAACTGAATGTTTAAAAGAATAATAGGAGATTCCACAGGAAAAGGAGGTTGGGATCACATTAGGGAGCCTGGAATTAAGGGATTGATACTATGGACAACTGGATGACAACCAGTTTTTTGAACTCGAGTTAAAAAAAATGAAACTTCCAAAGCTCTCTAGAAAGGATCCACACCTCCTAGTTTTGCCTTCATCTGTAAACCACTCATCTCCAGCACCTAAATGACCTCAGCAAACCTAAAAGACCTTAATGACTATTTACATGCGCAGTGACTTTCTTTCCTCTTCGTCCACAGCTATTTAGCATTTCCTCAGAAAACTCAGACCTGTTTTTTTTCCAAAAATTTTAAAATTGAGGTAAAACACACATAACATAAAATTCACCACCCTAACCATTTAAAAAAATTTTTTATTATTTTTTTTAAGACTAGTCAAGTGCAGTAGTGAGAACCACCTTAACCATTCTTACATGTACAGTTCAGCAGTATTAAATATTTACATTCATAAAATTGTGCAACCATCACCACCATCCGTCTCCAGAACCTGTAAAACTGAAACTCTATATCCATTAAATAATAACTCTACTTTGTCTCTATGAAGCTTGGTTCTTAAGTACTAGAGATCACAGTCTTTATATAATCCCCACCGCTTTCTTAGCCAAAATCTACTTTTTCATACAACTCAATTCAGTAGGATCAGTTGTCAGTAAAAGAACTCAATACCAAAGTAGAAAAACTTATTCCAAAAGCATAAAAATATGAAATATTTTCCTTTTGACTTCCTTTGTAATTCTGACTGCTCTAGACTGAAATTTAACAATAAAGTAGTTAAGCCCAAGATCGTGGCAGCAGCACCAAAGTTTGTTTCCCAAGTGCCTGTTAAACTGCAGCAAGTTTGTGGATTCTCTGACCACAGCCTTTCTCGGAGATGCTTTTCCAAGAACTTTGGAAAGCGACCTAAGAGGCTTAGTTACAAATTAACGAAAACAGAAGTGTATTCTGTAGAGTACTGAGGAAAGAATTTTTTAAATTACTATTCGGTTTTTAGTTTGTTTTGAGGTTTCCCATTTTCAGCCCAGAGACTAACCTTGCGACACTTCCGGGCTTCCGCAGCCTCCGGGAGCAAGAATCACGCGGGAAAAGTGGAGCCGCAGGGGTTGCGACGCAAGGGGAGGGCCCTCTCCCGGGGGCGGGGCGGGCGGCGCGCGCAGGCCCGGAAGTCCCTCCCGGCCAAATGTTAGCCGTCTCTGCTCTTGGTCGGTTCTCTAAGGTGGGAGGGGCCGTTTTGGCGGGCAGTTGTGACGTCACTAGCCCTTGTCGGTTTGCTACAGCACTGCAGCCAACATGAGGCTTTCTGGCTAACCGAAGAAAGGCGAGGGGTGGGCTCAGAGCCCCGGGAAGTGCTCGCTTGCGGCCCCACAGCAGCGGTAAGACTGGAGTCCCGCTCCAGCAGAGGCCGGCGTCCGGGCGGAAGCAGCGTTCTTTCTCGAGCGGTGGCCTGGTGGTTGCGCGCCTAGGCGGCCTCGGGCTTGGCTGCCTGGAACTAAGAGAGCATCCTCACCTGGTAAGAGGGAGGAGGGGAACTTGCTGCGAGCCTCCTGCGGCGCCAAAGAGCCAGAGCCCACCGTTCTCCTTGCCGCAGCGGTTGTTAACGCCTGGGAGCAGCCAAGGTTCATTTGTTTTCTTTCCGGATGTTTGTCTTAAACATGGACAAATACACCGCCTTCCAGGGTCGTACTGTTTACCTTGCCAGCAGAACATCTTTTTACTTCAAGACGTTTGATACTCCCAATCTCTGAATTCAGGTAGGCTGCTGAGCATAATATTTAAACACAAAACTGTTAATTTGCTTTTTCCTTACTTGGGCTGGAAATACGATTCTTTCTCTTTCAGGTGTTGATGTTGAATATGCCTTATTAGCATATTAAAATGGCTGTACCCAAAGACGCCATCCCTTCCTTGTTGGAATGCCAGTGCCAGATCTGTGTGGAAATCCTAATTGAGCCTGTGACACTCCCTTGTAACCACACGCTCTGTAAACCATGCTTCCAATCGACTGTTGAAAAGGCAAATTTGTGCTGTCCCTTCTGTCGCCGCCGGGTCTCTTCGTGGACTCGGTACCATACCCGAACAAATTCTCTTGTCAATACGGAACTGTGGGAGATAATTCAAAAACACTATACAGAGGAATGCAAGCTTAGAGCCTCTGGGCAAGAATCAGAGGAAATTGGTGAGTAAAACCCAACGCGTTTGTTATCTAAAATCAAAAATCCTTTTAAAAGCCAATCACCGGGCTTCCCTGGTGGCGCAGTGGTTGAGAGTCCGCCTGCCGATGCAGGGGACATGGG